CTAGTGAGTGTGGGGTTTGCTCCCTGTTTATATACAGTAGCTTGCCCTGCCAGTGTTGGTGGGGTGTGGTTTTCTCCTTGGTAGTTCCTTGATTCGGGTATTGTTTACTGCTTGATTACGTGTCAGTAAACCATCAAGCAGTAAACAATAACCTAATCAAGGAACTACCAACTCAGACCAACTTTTTCCTGACCTGGCCTCCCTCAGAGACTGACCGTCTTTCAACAGAGTATTCCAAAAATATTCAGTAATACTGCAATGTTAATAACAAATAGCAAAGGGACCTGTTGGTTTATTTTGGATTCATATTTTATGATGATTTTGTAAGTTGTTGCAAACAATAAGTTGGTGAAATAAACTCTCAAAGTATGCATTCAGCTTAATATAAGTTTATTTTCTCTTCAATTAGCTTCAAATGTTTTTGCTGAAGATACATATTTGAATACAACTTTGGATACATTTCAAAGGTGGGAGCACATTGAAGAGAACAAAATCTGGTGCCTAATTGAGTTCTACTTTTCAGTTTTGTTTGAAGAATGACAGATGGGTCCATTGGGCAAAGCAATTCACACATTATAAATTTTTCAGGCATTTCTACTCAGGATGGGGAAATAAGTCAATTCTAGTAATTTTTTCCCTCTGTTTTTTTTTGTTTTTGCAAGTCTGTCACGGTTGTCCCACTTGAGATTTTTTTCTTTCTCAAAAAAGTTTGCTCTGAAAATCGTATTAATTGAGGGGATACCTTTGGTGAAATGTAATTAATTAATTGTTATTAATTAATTACATTTCACCAAAGGCATCCATTTTGATGGCAACTGTGCTTAATATTCATAGGTTTTTCATATTATTTTCCCTAGCACAATCCATTTTTGCATGTCACTTTCATAAATCGCTGCATTTTCTTTTACTGAATTTTCCATAATAGGTCTATGTACTTATGTGTGGGAATTGTTGGCAAGCCCCCTTGCAAATCTGGAAAGAGTTTGAATGTTAAATAGTAACTTAGCTTTGGCTCAAAGCAGGAGGTACATCTGCATTCAGACTCGAAGGGAGCAAGTTTCTCCCTGAACCTTCAGAGCCAGATTGAATAGTCTGCCCTCAACGCTTTTATACAGGAGATTTAATAAAACCCCCATGATCAGCTGAACCTGCCCTTGTGGAGAAGGTTCAGTTGAATCTATTCTCCACATACTGTGTACTGCTTCTCCTACAAGGATACCCAAAGCACACTCACCTTCCCTCCCTTGCTACAAGCACCAAGTTATCCTGAGGAACTTCATGCCCTTTTATCAGACGAGGAAAGCGTTGTCACCCATAACGTGGCCACGTTCTGTATAGCTGCTGTGAATGTGCGCAACAAATGACTATTGCAATGACTGACATCCGTATGCCTGATTCACTTAGCTTATGGCTAGGTGGATGGTTTGTTGGTTTGGTTCTTTTTCTCTTTTCTCTTTGCTCTGTTTAGTTTATCTATGTTCTGTTTTCTCTGGTCCAGT